GGCTTGGCCCCCCAGAGACAGTCATATGTTGAAGGACTGCAGTAAACTAAATTTTTAGCTACTCTGATGCCATAGAACTTAGAATTAACACCGGTATTATTTTATATTTCAGAGTATGAGTAGCTAGAAAGAGGAAAGGGTCAATCCATCTCCAATGGATTTAATATAGAACTGTCAAGAAAAACATATTAAAATAGGGTATTCGAGCCGTTTTTTTAATAGCAATCACGCAGTCTGAGGATCCGAGACTCAGCTATATGCTTGTGTTCGCATGTAAACGAAAGCTGATCAAAAGTCGTTTGACTGATGGCCTAAAAATATTAACATTTTACTTAGCTTTAAACAGACCAGAAAATCAACTGGCAAGGTCAAGACGGTGAAAAACGAGTAGGATCAAGGTAACTGATGCCTGCCAGTCGTTAATAGGTACTTTTTCTACGCTCCGTCGCTGTGTAGTATTTGGGCGAATGTTACACATTTTTGAAAGTGACTAGTAGTGAGCGGGGTCTAGGTGCATCTTGTTCAAACGGTCCAAGTCTTTTCACGCATGCCAGGCTACTTTTGTCCAATTCATCAATTAATTCCAATATGGTTCCCAGATGTTTCTCATCAAGTTCCACCCTCTTAACCGAGGAGTGCTGACCAGGCTCTATTGTTAACTCTGGTATACCGTTTAATTTAATTTCCAAATTTTTACTGCTAGAAGAATTAACAGATCTTGGCTCAGTTTTTGGATTGGTCGGCATTGATTTAACGACAGCCTCGCCTTTAAATGACTCGGTTATTGCCTTTTCAATGATCACAGGAAACTTTACCTTAATTGTATTTATAACTTTTTCAACTGAGGGTAGTGAAGTTTTTTTATTGAAACAAATCAGGCAACGAAAGAGCATCAGTTTAGCTTTTGTTATGTTGGGGAGAAGATCCACAGGAAGACCGGAGCATCCATCGTGAAACCAGCCGTCACAGATATCGCATTGAATCCAGTTCTCACCACCCCCTTTCTTACACTTAAGACAAGGATCTTCGTCGTCTGATGTTGTTGCCTCAGTTCTATCTCCCACAGATCCATTTCTTGTTTTCATTGACATTCCAAGCTTAAGCTATTTATTAAGTTTATCAGAACGATAAGGCTCTCGAAACTTGGTTCTCGGGATTCGTGTTGCAACGGTTGTAGCGGCACAATCGTTACAACTCGGAATGCTTTTCGATAGTTGTTTTCTACTTCAATCTCGATATATATCGCACAATTGCCGTTCACCGTTTTTCTCAACGAATTCTGTTGTGTTTTTTTCGAGGTTTCAGTTGTCGCGAAATCTCAACTTGTTACGTGTCGTTCATGTTCAAATCGAAATTTTAAAAATCAGCATGTCAGGCCAAATTAACCATTCCTGATTCGTTAAACGGAACAATTAACACCGTTAGCTCGTAAAAACCATCAATATCAGGGTATCGGACCCGAAGGAACATAATCAGGACCCATGGGGAGTATCCTTGCCTCTGCTTGGCGCAGACGTTATGGTACCCCAAACGCGGGAATCTGATGCTAGTATGGGACGTGGAGGAGTTGTACTCTACGGGGTTGCCCGATCAGAATCAACAGGTGTCAATCGTGGTGGTTAGTGCCATGCTGGCAGTGAGGTGGTTGGAGGCTAACGCGGACACAAGAGAACTGGAGACGGCCGTGCCGACTCCTGAGCAGCTGAGCAACGTAAAGATGAGCCGCAAATTGGACCTTTTCAGAACCACCTGCAAGGTTCTGAGAATACCCAAAGCCATTGAAAGAATATGGTCAAGGCAAAGGTTGATGCCTTGGTTCCGTGCAGTGATGACGTCAAGGATGTATGAACGCGCGAAAAGTCACATGTCGAGGAGCACGGAAGCCTATCAATCTTTCCAGCTAGATATAGGACGGGAGCATATAAGAGAGCATTCCTGACGCACAGAAACGCGGTCACCAAGGCGGTGAAGCGAGTATTTGGAGCGCCTTGTGTAACTGAAGATGAGAAGAAAGAGGTCTTAAGAGCTGGCCTAGAACGAAAAGTGAGCTTGTGTCTTCACAACAGCTTTTGCAGAAACCGGGAGCAAAAGGTGAATGTGGACTTGCTACCTTGTTGCAAACCGAGGCTGTTGGAACAGGAGAGTTGGGGCACGGCCCGAAACTCAATGGATATGTTGGAAAAATTCCTAGAAGACAGTGAAGCTGAAGATCAGGATGGAGAAGCAATGGAATGAAGATGATGGAACGAAGACGATAAGTGAAGACGTGAACAAGGAAGGAAGAGAAGGAGAAAAAACTTGGTTGTCTCTGTGTGTTAAAACTTGAACTAATCAACCAAGTTTGATTATTGAACTTGTTAAACTTTTTGTTTTGATCTAGTTTGGTCAGACCAAACTTTGAAAATTGTTGCCATTGTTAAAATTGTTAAAATTGTTGATTTTAGTTATGACTATTTATATATATATGGAGAACATAGGTGAGTATATTTACCTATTTAAACACGACTGAAGTTTTTAACCTGTGTAAGACACAATTTCACCGTGTGGCAACATGGTAAGATTGGGAAAACTCGCTCGAAAAGGGTGAGTAACTCAATAACTTTCCTAGCCACAGAGTTTCTTAGTTTTATTATCAAATAGGACCGCATAAACAACTGATTATACTTGATGAGTGACGTTAAGTTAATTTTAACGGGCGCGTGGCCGTGCGACGTCCCAACTTTTTAATCACAAAGAGCGAAAAGAAGTTTTATGGCAAAGATGACGTAAGTAGTCAGAAAAGAATTTTTATCTAAGACACTCCTCATGGTGCAAATTTTGTGAAGATGTTGAAAGGCAGTGAGATGTAGTACGATGCCATTTGTGACACGCAGTGAGATGAGGTGGAGTAGATAAATTTCATTTTCTTATGCGATTTGTAAGATTAGTTATAGAGAACTGGAGTACTACTTGACGATAACCCGGTGTTATGCGATCAATAGGGACATTGATGGGGACTTGTCCGCACAGCGCAACCTTCCGACGGGTCAGAAAAAGACGACTAAAGACCTTAGTAACAAAAAAGTGCTGCGAAGGAGGGTCGAAATTTTCCGGAAGTTTAAATTTTTAAAATTTCGATTGACGGGCAAGTATTTCTCAGAAATACAAAAAGACGGCCATTTTGACGAAAAAGAACGAAAAAACAGAACAACGACAAATATAGTGAAAAACAGTCGCACGAGAAAACGAGAAAAACGAAGCCTCTTATCGTGGCAATCACACACGATAAGACCGATAGCAAAGAGAAACAGTGAGAAAGGAGGCTTCAGTGGGGAAGGAATATTCCGCGGAACCCTCCCGTGCCACAAATTGGGAGAGATAACAACGTTATCTCGAGAAGATTACGGGAGCGGAGGCTTGGCCCCCCAGAGACTGTCATATGTTGAAGGACTGCAGTAAACTAACTTTTTAGCTACTCTGATGCCATAGAACTTTGAATTAACACCGGTATTATTTGATATTTCAGAGTATGAGTAGCTAGAAAGAGGAAAGGGTCAATCCATCTCCAATGGATTTAAATAAAACTGTCACCAAAAACATATTAAAATAGGGTATTCGAGCCGTGTTTTTAATAGGAATCACGTAGTCTGAGGATCCGAGACTCAGCTATGTGGTTGTGTTTGCATGTAAACGAAAGCTGATCAAATATCGTTTGACTGATGGCCTTAAAATAGTAACTTTTTTATACTAGCCCTAAACAGACCAGAAAATCAACTGGCAAGTTCAAGACGGTGAAAAACGAGTAGGATCAAGGTAACTGACGCCTGCCAGTCGTTAAAAGGTACTTTTTCTACGCTCCGTCGCTGTGTAGTATTTGGGCGAATGTTACACATTTTTGAAAAAGACTAGTAGTGAGCGGGGTCTAGGTGCATCTTGTTCGAACGGTTCAAGTCTTTTCACGCATGCCAGGCTACTTTTGTCCAATTCACCAATTCATTCCAATATGGTTCCCAGATGTTTCTCATCAAGTTCCACCCTCTTAACCGAGGAGTGCTGACCAGGCTCTATTGTTAACTCTGGTATACCGTTTAATTTAATTTCCAATTTTTTACTGCTAGAAGAATTAACAGATCTTGGCTCAGTTTTTGGATTGGTAGGCATTGATTTAACGACAGCGTCGCCTTTAATTGACTCGGTTATTGCCTTTTCAATGATCACAGGAAATTTTACCGTAATTGTATTTATAAATTTTTCAACTGAGGGTAGTCAAGCTTTTTTATTGAAACAAATCAGGCAAAGAAAGAGCATCAATTTAGCTTTTGTTATGTCGGGGAGAAGATCCACAGGAAGACCGGAGCATCCATCGTGAAACCAGCCGTCACAGATATCGCATTGAATCCAGTTCTCACCACCCCCTTTCTTACACTTAAGACAATGATCTTCGTCGTCTGATGTTGTTGCCTGAGTTCTATCTCCCACAGATCCATTTCTTGTTTTCATTGACATTCCAAGCTTAAGCTATTTATTAAGTTTATCAGAACGATAAGGCTCTCGAAACTTGGTTCTCGGGATTCGTGTTGCAACGGTTGTAGCGGCACAATCGTTACAACTCGGAATGCTTTTCGATAGTTGTTTCCTACTTCAATCTCGATATATATCGCACAATTGCCGTTCACCGTTTTTCTCAACGAATTCTGTTGTGTTTTTTTCGACGTTTCAGTTGTCGCGAAATCTCAACTTGTTAGGTGTCGTTCATGTTCAAATCGAAATTTTAAAAATCAGCATGTCAGGCCAAATTAACCATTCCTGATTCGTTAAACGGAACAATTAACACCGTTAGCTCGTAAAAACCATCAATATCAGGGTATCGGACCAGAAGGAACATAATCAGGACCCATGGGGAGTATCCTTGCCTCTGCTTGGCGCAGACGTTATGGTACCCCAAACGCGGGAATCTGATGCTAGTATGGGACGTGGAGGAGTTGTACTCTACGGGGTTGCCCGATCAGAATCAACAGGTGTCAATCGTGGTGGTTAGTGCCATGCTGGCAGTGAGGTGGTTGGAGGCTAACGCGGACGCAAGAGAACTGGAGACGGCCGTGCCGACTCCTGAGCAGCTGAGCAACGTAAAGATGAGCCGCAAATTGGACCTTTTCAGAACCACCTGCAAGGTTCTGAGAATACCCAAAGCCATTGAAAGAATATGGTCAAGGCAAAGGTTGATGCATTGGTTCCGTGCAGTGATGACGGCATGGATGTATGAACGCGCGAAACGTCACATGTCGAGGAACACGGAAGCCTATCAATCTTTCCAGCTAGATATATGACCGGGAGCCTATAAGAGAGCATCACTGACGCACAGAAACGCGGTCACCAAGGCGGTGAAGCGAGTAGCTGGAGCGCCTTGTGTAACTGAAGATGAGAAGAAAGAGGTCTTAAGAGCTGGCCTTGTCGCGAAATCTCAACTTTTTACGTGTCGTTCATGTTCAAATCGAAATTTTAAAAATCTGCATGTCAGGCCAAATTAACCATTCCTGATTCGTTAAACGGAACAATTAACACCGTTAGCTCGTAAAAACCATCAATCTTTCCAGTCAGATGTAAGAAAAAAGTTCGAATCCAAACTTGCATTTTGACACATACTGGTCGAATGTCACACCACTGAGGGTCGGTGACAGGGTGTTTGTGCAGAATCAAGTAGGTAGTTTTGAGAATGCTTTACAAGTGTAAATTCAAACAAACGTTTTGGCACATTTTGTGCATCTTCAGGTTTTAAAAATTCTAAACTATCTGTACAAAATGATCAAAGATCATAAAAATTGTCACACACATCATTACTTCAAAATTTTAAAAATTCAACCAATCAAAACTTTACAAATATCACTGAAATTATGTAACAACTATTATGTAACATTTTAAAACATTTTGTCACAAATTTCTGAGAGTTTTCTTCATTTTTATTTTCACATTTATGTTTTGTGGCTAATTTTTATGCTACGACAAGTAGGTAATCATGCTAGGAAGTGGGATCGGTCAGGTGCAGTGGTCGAGGTACGATCCAGCGATCAGTACGTGGTAAAAGTAGACGGGTCGTCGGTTTCTAAGGAGGTATACAATGCCCCAGTCCTCCCTGGTGGGGGTGCCACGATCCTTCAGTGGTCAGTCTGAAGGCTACAGTTTACCGCAGTTGCCTGAGTTTACCCCCCACTGATGGAACAAATGTAGTTCAGGTACCGGAACAGTAACCAGGACAGCAAGGTGCGGAGGAGCCGATGCCGCTTACATAAGATACGACGTCTGATCAGTTACCGGTGGTGCTATCGGAATCGACAGTTGGGCTGGGGACACCGTGGACAAGTTGAAGCCTCAAGTGGTGGCGGAAGATCGGCCAGTAGAGAATGGGGAACGAAGGTCAGGGCGTGCTCGGAAGGCCAGGTTGTGTTATCAACCAGAGTCTGGTAACTGGGTTGCTTTGTAGCTTGCGGCGATAGAGGTATACGCAGTCTCTGGCTCGGGGGATGTAGAGATACGGCCTGTGTGTATGTAAATCCTTTTATTATGTAAATTACATCATATTTTTTTTTCAGATATTGCGTGAAGCATTGTTTGAATTGACGTTGTCTTCAACATGGAGTTTTCTTCAATGGTCAAAGAAAATCTTAGCGTAAAAAGCTTTGTTTCTCTAAACCTTTTGTTTCTGTAAACAAAATTTTTAGGCTGATTTTAATTGCTACCAAAGTGTGAAATAACTCCGATTCTAAATATGACTGCTCAATTCGTGCTGGTTTTGAGAAATCGCAGAAAAAATATTCAAGAAAGAAAATAGATTTTCCATGAACACTACGGGAGTTGGTCGGTAATCTTGTGCATTTTGTGAACGGATTACTGTTACTACAAACGTCTTTGAACGGCTATTCAGCTGGGTAAACTGGTTTACGACGACAACGGCAAAAAAACTCCTTCCTGTAAAGGTGGAGTCGCAAATATGTTTTGGCCATAATCAATGGGATATTCATTTGATAAACGCTATCTGTCATAAACATCAATCAGAGTCATAGTGTTTTAAAAGATACGGGTACATAATCTAGATAATCTAGCTCTGAGCAAAGACCAAAAAATTAATCTATCGAAGGGCCAAGATATTATCGAAAGAAAATCTTCACCTTTTTCTAGCTTTAGGCATCCATGAATGGTCAGGTCGAAATTGACAAAAAGTTCACTAAAATAAAAAAACCATGGAATTGAGTATTCTATTATCTATCTATCTATTAAAAGAAGTTTTTCACGTTTAAGCTATATCGTATATTGCAATGGTTAAGAACTTTTTTAGATTTTCCAGTTTGATTTCAGTAGATTTTTCACCGAGTTTAAAATAAGCAGCTCGATATCGAATTAGGGGTTGCGAATTTGGCCTCCAATTTTGAATGCCCGAATCATTTTAGTTAACCAGATAAGACGATTTTTGAGATTTTTTCAAAAATTTTCAGAACTTTCAAATAAAATAATTTACAAAACTTGAAGTTCCCAACCTTGTAATTGGGTGCTGTCAGAATACTCTCAAGAGTTACAAATCTTGCCTCCAAATCCTTGTAGTTCAAATCCTGTTCAAATCCTTGTAGTTTTCGAGATATATCGTTTTTTTGATTTTTTCAAAAAATGATCAGAAAACTTATATTAATTTTTTTTCGCAAAATCTGAAATTCCCACTCCTGTAGTTGGGTCCTGTCAGAGTAATCTCAAAGATTGCGAATCTTGCCTCCAAATATGACTGCTCAGTTCATTGTAGTTTTCGAGATATGACGTTTTTTGTATTTTTTCAAAAATTTTCAGAAACTTTTAATTAATTCTCAAAATTTGAAATTCCCAACCTTGTATTTGGGTGCTGTCAGAGTACTCTAAGGAGTTACAATTTTGCTTCCAAATATGACTGTTCAAATACTTGTAGTTTTCGAGATATGACTTTTTTGTGATTTTTCAAAAAAAATTTCAGAAAAAAACGTATATTAATTTTTCTTCCGCAGAATCTGAAACTCCCAACCCTGTACTTTGGTCCTGTCAGAGTAATCTCAAAGATTGCGAATCTTGCCACATGCGAATGCTAAACGCGACTGCTCAAATGCTTTTAGTTTCCGAGATATGACGTTTTTTGTGATTTTTTCAAAATTTGAAATTCCCAACGCTATAGTTTGGTGTTGTCAGGGTACTCTAAAGAGTTGCAAATCTTGCCACATGCGAATGCTAAACGCGACTGCTCAAATGCTTTTAGATTCCGAGATGTGACGTTTTTTGATTTTTTCAAAATTTTTGAAAGAACTTATCTACAAAGAAATTCAAAAAATTTGAAAGTCCCAACCCTGTAGTTGAGTGCTGTCAGGGTACTCTCAGGAGTTACAAATCTTGCAAAATGCAACTGCTCAAATGCGACTGCTCAAATGCTTTAAGTTTGTGACATATTTTTGATTTTTACGAGATGTGACATATTTTTGATTTTTTCAAAATTTCTCAAAGAACTTCCCTACAAAAAATTTCACAAATTTGAAACTGCTAATTTGTTGGAGAGATAACCTTTGTATCAGCGTACACCCAGGCGTTGCAAATCTTGCCTCTAATTATGAATGCTCAAATCCTTTTAGTTTCCGAGGTGTGACTTTTATTATGATTTTTTCAATTTTTTTCGGGAAACTTAGGTTTAAAAAATTCACGAAAGTTAAAATTCCCAACTCTATAGTAGATGACTCTCAGGGACTCTCAGTGGTTGCAATATGGTCTCCAAATTTTTCCAGAGGCCCATTAAATTTTCGAGGTGACGCTTTTATGGCTTTTCAAAATTGGAATGAAATTTTTTAAAATAAATTTGGAAATTGTCAACCCTGTAATTGGGTGCAGTGAGAGTACAGTAAAAGGTTGCAGATCTTGGTTCCAATATTTGCGGTTTTTCATGAGTTGTCGAATCTTAATACTTTTGAGTTAGTGCACCATTTTTATAAAGTTTTGGCTGGAAGTAGCAAAGATTATGATTCGTCTAGAATTATAGATGAACACATTTTTAAACTATTTATCACAGAAGAATGGTTAAAAGCTTAAAAAGAACGAATTTAAGGCCGTCGATGAATGGAGAGCTAGACGAAAGAAGAAGCGGGACGAACAATGTGGTAACATGTCTCTTAGCGATTTTGGCGAGCATAGTGTTGTCCAGTCATCAATGCCACAAATCAAGACCTTCCAACGAATGGTAAGAAATTTAGGGGAATTAACTTGATTATCGTAGAAATTATACGCAAGCAGAGCGATAACTTCTATAACGGTTTTTGTTTTACGCATCTCGGAAAATTTAATCCTAAGTAGTCTCATGCAACTGCCTTCTCAGTGACGTGGTAAAACGCCTGCAATAGGTTTCAAAGGTGTTTCCACCTCCTTACTCTAATACGTCAATCAAAAGATCGTTTATCGAGTTGAGACCTAGTGGGGAAGATACGAATCAAGATCTATTGCAAACGAGTGCGTCCTAGAAAGACGACGATGTTATATCAAAGTCAATAAATGACCTTACACCCAAATTGGTACAGGATGTTGAAGGACAAATCAAACCAGCGATTGATTTGGTATCGAGTTGAGACCTTGTGCGTGCGGAAGAAACGAATCAAGATCTATTGCAACTGAGTGTGTCCAAGAAAGTCGACGATGTGGTATCAAAGTCAATAAATGACCTGAAACCCAAATTGGTAGAGGACATTGAAGGACAAATCAAACAAGCGATTGATTTGGTATCGAGTTGAGACCTTGTGGGGAAGAAACGAATCAAGATCTATTGCAAATGAGTGTCCAAGAAAGTCGACGATGTGATATCAAAGTCAATAAATGACCTGAAACCCAAATTGGTAGAGGACATTGAAGGACAAATCAAACAAGCGATTGATTTGGTAACGAGTTGAGACCTTGTGGGGAAGAGACGAATCAAGATCTATTGCAAATGAGTGTGTCCAAGAAAGCCGACGATGTGATATCAAAGTGAACAAATGACCTGATACCCAAATTGGTAGAGGATGTTGAAGGACAAATCAAACAAGCGATTGATTTGGCAAAAATGGGAGTCGTGACAAAATTCAAAGATTTAAATAATTTTGTGGGTTCAAGTTGCACGAAAACAATCTTACTCTGAATACTCTTTTTGAAAAATTATAATCGAAGCGATAACGGAAATATTTTTGGCCTAGCTACGATCACTAATGAAGGGCGAAGAGAAAAGATGGAAACAACAATGAAGAAAGAGGCTGACACTGGTGATCAGGGTTGCAATGTTTAAAACATGTCTTTTTTTAAACTTGTTTACAACACGTTGAACACTGTTCAAAACACCGAATAAATTTAAAGCAATTTCCCTTGAATGGCAGATTTTCTTGTATGCTCTAACTAACTGAACTGTATTCGCCGAAAAATATCCTTGATGGATTTCGTGACCGAGGTATCGAACGACGCGAATGGTTCGAAACTGCCGAGAGATGATAATCTTCGATTCTTCTGCGTTTTTTTTTCTATCCGACTTTTTCGGAGTGGATCTTACTGAAAATAAAATGAAAAGAGCACTCAACTTGGAAAAGTACGGTGAACAGACTGTATATTTTCTAATTTTTTTTTTTTGTTTAAAACATGGTTAAACGTGTAGAACATTTTATACTTGAAAAGTGTTTTTTTTTCAACCCTGCTGGTGATGCGCTAGAGGCACAAATTGTCGAAAATGACATATCCATTGGTCAAAGATTGCCATCAAGAACGACCAGAGAGGAAACGGTAATAAATCGATTTGCTTGGCTTCTAGAAAAGATTCATCTGCTGCAAGACAAAAAGCCTAAGAAAAACCGAAAAGTTCAGGGATGTGAAATTTTTCAAAGATTTGAATACTGCTAGGGTCAGTTCCATGAAGATGGTGAATGGAGATGAAAGAGTCCAATAAACGTCGACGAGATAATGAGCAATATTTATTCGGAGAAGAGTGATCAAAAAATAACAAGCTGGTGATTTTCTGAATTACATTGTTGAAAGTGCTTGAATGTTGTTTTTAGTAATTCCAATGGACAGAAAGGATCATGAATGAATCAAATGAGTTCCATTTCAACATGAAATTTGCTTCTTTTAATGTTCTGTTATCTAATGTACGATCTCTAAAAAAGCGTCACAAGTTAAGAAGCTTTTCTAAGTACTCTCGTCGCTGCACTCAATATGTTTTGCCTGTTTGAAACTTGGTTTAACGAAACAGACGATATCAACTTGTTTCAGTTTAAAGGGTTTCAAACACTGATATCTACCATTGGAAAAAATCCTAGAAGCATGATAATTCTATGTGAGTCGGCGACTCGAATTAGTGATGCATCTAGAACCTTTTTTGACTATTTCTTGAAAAGCTATTTAGAAAACTCAAACCTAAGAGTTCTCAATATGGATGCGTTTCCGACCATATCCTGTAATTTTGACTGCAATTTTCATATCAAAAGCTGAGGAATCAATCTATTCACTCCGAGAGATGTCTTTTTTAAGGAAGAAATCATTCCAACGATTTCTCAATCATTTTAAAAGGAAAGTTAGAGTTCTCGATACTCATCAACGATGCGAACCTTACATTATTGATGCGTACGATAGGATAAATTTGAAGTTAATCACTTTGAGTCATTGAAATTTTTTGCTCTTAAAAGAATACTCAACTTGGAAAATTACGGTGCCCAGATTGCATATAATTTATGTTTTTTTTTTTGGTTTAAAACCTTTTTTTATAAAACGTTTTGAACATTTAAATCATTTTATACTCGAAACCTGTTTTTTGCAACCCTACTGGTGATGCACCAGAGGCACGAATTGTCGAAAATAACATATCCATTGGTCAAAGACTGCCCTCAAGAACGACCAGAGAGACACCGGTAATGCTTAGATTTGCTAGGCTTCTAGAGAAGATTCATCTGCTGCAAAACAGAAAAAAAAACTAGGAAAAACCAGAAACTTCAGGAATTTGAAAATTTTCGATCTAAGATGTGAGTCCTGCTCAAGTCTTTTTCATGAACATGGTGAAGGGAGATGAGAAAGTTCAATCAAGGTCAACGAGATAAGGAGCAATGTTTTTCGGAGGAGAGTGATCAAAAAATAATAATAATTACTGGACAGTATTTAGCTGGTGATTATCTGAATTATGATGTTGAAAGTGTGATGAACTGCTTCAATGCTGTTTTTAGGAATTCTAGTGGACAGAAAGGATCCTCAATCAAATGAGTTCCATTTTTTTATGAAATGTGCTGATATCAATGTTCTGTTATCTAATGTGCGATCTCTAAAAAAGCATCACATGTTTTAAGAAGCTTTTTGAAGTACTCGCGAAACTCCACTCATTATATTTTGCCTATTTGAAACTTGGATTAATGAAACAGATGATATCAGCTTGTTTCAGCTTAAAGGATTTTATACACTGATATCTACTAATGGAAAAACTTTTAGAACCATGATACAACTAGTTAATTTAGTTTATCTAAATGATCAGCTGGGTTCGAAATTACTTGAATCTGCCTGTTTTTCTTTAAAATAATGGTTTGAAAGCTATAATGTTGGCAGCATATGCACCACCTAGATATAAAAAAGTTTTCTTCGGAGTTTTGCGTAAAGAACTTGAAAATCTTGCTCAACACAAAATACCGATAATTTTAACGGCTGATTACAATATCGATACTTTCAAAAACAATAATCTGAAGCATGGTTGTTTGGATATAATAACATCCGATGGTTTCGAGTTTTCTAAATGAGTCTGCGACTCGAATTAGTGAAGCTTCTGAAACCTTTATTGACCATTTCTTGAAAAGCCATTTAGAAATCAAAAACCAATGCGCATTAATTTTATAAAGGATTGAGAAATGCGCTTACTGAAAAGAACATGTTAAACAAAGATTTTTCCCATCATAACTTCAATAAATGCGTAGGAGACTCGAGTTAAATTCAAATTTCTGAATGAAGTAAATAGAAAAGCTCACAATTGAACTGTATTCGTGGAAAAATATTCTCGATTGATTTTGTGAACGAGGTATTGAACGACGAAAATGGTTCGAAAGTGCCGACAAATGGTAATATTTTTGTTCTGGATTCTTGATTTGCTGCGTTTGTTTTTTGCATCCGACTTTTTCGGAGTCGATCCTACTGAAAATGACATGAAAAGAGCGCCCAAATTGGAAAAGTACGGTTCACAGACTGCTTATAATCTGATTGTTTTTTTTGCTTAAATTTTTTCAAACGTTTAAAACTTTTTATACTCGAAACTTCTTCTTTTTTTGCAACCCTGCTGGTGATGCACTAGACGCACAAAGTGTCGAAAATGACAAAGTGTTGCTGCTTTAATTGTTCTGATATCTAATGTACGATATCTAAAAAAGCATCCAATAAATTGAGAAGCTTTTCTAAGTACTGTCGTGTCTGCACTTTATATGTTTTGCCTATTTGAAACTTGGTTTAATGAAACAGACGATATCAACTTGTTTCAGCTTAAAGGATTTCAAACACTGATATCTACTAATGGAAAAACTTTTAGAACCATGGTTTAATTGTATAAAATTTAAACTCAAAATCAAACTAAGAAAAGAGAGTGATGCTTTGACTTTTGATTATGCTGGATGAAACGAGTAACGACAGCAACTGATGTACATATGGGCTAATGAAAGTTAAATACTACGCTTGAAAAGAATCTCATTCTTGAATTTGAAGTTCTATGCTGTCTGCCATTTTAGTGTTTCGTTTTTGAATTAAAAAGATCCGAAAACCAGTACTTAACGAGAGTTCGCTGTTTTAGTTTTAAAGAAATCTTAAAATTGAATTTATTTCTAACAATTTAATTCAAAATTCAAATCCTTGATAGATGCTCACGTCTATTCTTTTCAAAATATATAATTACATAAAAATACGTGTATTTTAAAAAGCCAAAGGAAATAAATGAAAATGTAAGATAGGACGGGGCATCCAACAAGGCTTTGGATTTGGAATTGAACGCTTAAAAAAAAGCTAATTGCATATGTATTTTATTTTAGGCAATGTAGTGTGAATTAGTTACAGATATTGAACCACTGAAAAGTTGAACCAACAGGGTTTTCAAAAGTCATTTTGGCCAAGCGCATCTATAACTATAGTTTTTTCGGTAGAGAGCATTTATAAATACTTCATAATTTTTGCAAAAATGAGAAAAAACTTATTGTAATTAAAGTAAAGTATACTACAGTAGTAATATCAGCAAAATTTCGAATGACAGAAAATTGAAACCTGTGAATGTTCTTGGCAGAGAGCACATATCATTAATTTTCGGCAGACCACACCCTATGAGTATGATAATTTTGACAAAGAGCACGATTTCATCATAGTTCAATATCTGTAACTGATTTAAACTACATTGCCTCGAATGCCGTCAAGAAGTTATATTTAAGTTATAGCGTGCGCTCTGCCGGTGTTGTTTTGGCAGAGCGCACTCTTGACCCCAAATTTAACGCCGGTAGAGCGCACTCGAGCTCCTGAGTAAATTTGGGCCAACCTATCTGTACGAAAAAATTCTGGGTGCAAAACAGCGAATTTTATCGTGTGAACCAATCGAGTTATCAACTTTTTTGAGTTCTGAAGAAAATTACTAACTCGCTACTTTTTAATTACATGTGAGCTCTGCTGACTTTTTAGGTTTTCTGCAATTTTCAATAACTTTTGTTAAAGATTCTAATTTTTTTTCTGGTACCATTTATCTAATTTTGTTTTTAATGTACTCTCGAATATCGAAGTTGATCTAAAGCATAACTTGAAATAATTCAAATCTTCATAGCTTGAACTGCTTGTATTTGATAAATTATCATTTCGCGAAACAATTCTGTCTCTGAAATAACTTGAATTAATTCATAGTTTCATCGGTTGAATGGCTCCAATTGAAAAACTAAAACTTTTAGCCATGCGATTCTCTTGGTGAAGTATTTTGAAACAGTTCAAAGTTTACTGGCCTGAATAGCTTGCTTGAAAAATTCACTTTTCGCGAACCGATCGGTCTATGAAGACACTTAAAGTATTTCAAAGTTTTCTCAGTCTAATGTCTCTAATTGAAAAACTAAAGCTTTTCGCCCACCCCCTTCGGGAAATAACTTAATAACTTCTCTGAAAAAAATGTTTTGCTCTAAAAACAACTTGAATGTTTCAAATTTTCATCGCTTGATTAGCTTGAATCAAGTCTGAAACTGTCAATAAAGCAAATGTTTCTGTTTTTGCTAATTAGTTTGATTCATGAAATAACATAGCTCGAATGGCTTCGAAGAAAACCTTTATTTTTTCGCCATCCAAATCCTTTCGTGACTCAGCTTGAAATGGCTTGATCAGCTTGCTTAAAAAACCTGAACAACTATCTTTCGATCATCTGATCATGGAGACACGCTAGTTAGTATAAATAGCGTCGGCAAAATAGTTAGTGGGTGTCAAATAACGAATTTATCGTGTGAAGAAAAAGTTTATTAAAATCCAAGCAGTATATAAATGCATTAAATTACAAACAATGACCTCCAGTTCAAAGCAAGTTTCTTTCTTAAGAATCAAACACAGAAATTTTTTTTGGTGTATGGCAGCGTCAAGCAGGAGAGGGTAAGATTGCACAAAATATCTATGTATTACTATAATGAACGTAATGTGAAACATTCGTTTCAGACATTTTTCTACGTCTTGCCCTTCAGTGATGTCCAACAGACGAATAGTGCTGCTGGTTTTGACCCAATTCGAACAAATGAGCATGACTGCAGCGGAAGCGGGTTGCTGAATTTGAGCATTGGTCATTGTCACTCTCTCATGGCGTCTCCTTGGAAACAGCCCGAATCAGACATACCTGAAGAAGGGTTTGGATTTGGACTAGAAGGGGGAGATGGAGATCCGGTCATAGTGAAAAGTGTACTGTCAGGTAATAGGGAATGAAAAAAAGCACTTTGCTTGCTTTGATAGTTGAAAACGGCATTTTAACTGGAAAGAGGACTAAATACATTTTGGAATATTTATGCAGTTATTCGGAGTAGTTGTCCCTTGTGCCCGCTTAACCGCTTGAATACTTCATTCGGGGTGCATTTTGGCCTCGTAATGTTTGTGCATTCACTGCATACTTTTATCCAGACTGGTTGGCAGAAATCAGGTTCGAATCTAAATAATACAAATTGCCTGTAATATTTTGAATTCGGCAAGCATGAAATCATCTCAAATTTTTTTCCCACGCCTTAGTGATCACACAAAACTGTTTTTAAAACCAGCATCAGACTATTTGTTATCAGTATCAGATTATTTTTTTGTTTGCCTGTAATTTTTTAGGCTGGTGATTAGCAACTGTTATTAAATCGGAGCTTTTTTCAGATCAACAGCTAGCTAAACAGGTTTTGTCAGCCAAAGAGATTTTTGAGCAGTTGTGACTTTGAAAATTTTCGTTATATTCGAAATTTAATTAAAAGTGTCAATGAGGGTATTGCAGACCCTTATCTAGGTCGTGATTTTTTCAGGAAAAAATTATGCAGTCTCAAATTTGTTTTTTTTTGCTTTTTAATTTTGCGACTGGGTTCTATACTTTTAAATATAATTTCTATATAATTTTTTAAAGGGTGTTGCAACTGGGTTCTATACTTTTTTCTCTTCAATAACTTTGTTTACATGGTGAATTGTCGTAGTATGTAAAACAAGCCTAAACCCCCGGGGAGGGGGTGGGGCTTGAGCGAGGGCGGGGGTAAGATGGAGAGTAAATGTATGTTTATTATACCTTTGACCCGTTGCACTTGGGATTTACTACCATTCATTTCCAGTTGAAAATACTAATGCAGAGTCTGTAACGCAAACTCGTATTTGTATGTAACTGGTGCAAATGCATGTACCCATATAAGTAGTTTGGTTCAGTTTGGGCAAATAAACTATTTAGCCAACATATATTTCTTCCTTTCCAGGGTTGTCGTGTTGTTATCTAGATGTTATTAACAGACCGATATTTAACACGTTATTAGCACATCCTTTTAAACAATTCGAGCTTTCAATTCGAATGCAGTTGTTTTTTCATATCTGGCGCAAAAAAGCAGTAAGGGGTGGTAAACATAAGTTAAACTAAATTTTTTCTGGTTCCAATAAATCTGGTTGTAGGCGTTGAAGATCTGCCAAACCATATGTTACAAGGGAAAAAATTCATTTTTGTTAAAGGAAGGCAAACATTGGCCCCGTTTAAAAATGTTAAAAATCTTGAACAACATATTAGATCACACTTATTATAGTATCTGGTTGTCAAAAAAAGATAAATGAAGCTTCGGAGTGGTGGCTGATAAGGTGCATTCGAACGTTTCTTAGTTCAGCATTTTTCAATTTATTTTAGCCTTGTTCGTTGAATAATGAAAAAAATTGCAAACGGCAGAGCGCACTTATAACTATTAATTTTGGCAAAAAAACACTGAAAGGAAACAATTTTTTTCTTGACGGCAATCATTGCAATGTAGTTTAAATTAGTTACAGATGTTGAACCATCATGAAAAGTTGGCCCAACGGGGTTTCCTAAAGTCATTTTAGCAAAGCGCACCCATAACTATGGTTTTTTATAGGCAGAGAGCACGCTATAACTATATACATATACATATATAAGTTTTATGGGCTTATTAGCTTGCTAAAGAAAAACAATTTTCAGGAACCAAATTGATCTATAGCATAACTTGAAATAATTCAAATCTTCATAGCTTGAACTGCTTGTATTTGATAAGTTATCTTTTCGCGAAACAATTATGTCTCTGAAATAACTTGAATTAATTCATAGTTTCATCGGTTGAATGGCTCCAATTGAAAAACTAAAACTTTTAGCCATGCGATTCTCTTGGTGAAATAACTTGAAACAGTTCAATGTTTACTGGCCTGAATAGCTTGCTTGAAAAATTCACTTTTCGCGAACCGATCGGTCTATGAAGACACTTGAAGTATTTCAAAGTTTTCTCAGTCTAATGACTCTAATTGAAGAACTAAAGCTTTTCGCCCACCCCCTTCGGGAAATAACTTAATAACTTCTCTGAAAAAATTGTTTTGCTCTAAAAACAACTCGAAATGTTTCAAATTTTCATCGCTTGATTAGCTTGAATCAAGTCTGAAACTTTCAATAAAGAAAATGTTTCTGTTTTTGCTGACTAGTTTGATTCTGACTAGTTTGATCCATAAATGTATGTTAATTATACCTTTGACCCGTTGCACTAGGGATTTACTGCCATTCATTTCCAGTTGGAAATACTCATGCAGAGTTTGTAACGCAAACTCGTTTTTGTATGTAACTGGTGCAAATGCATGTACCCATATAAGTAGTTTGGTTCAGTTTGGGCAAATAAACTATTTAGCCAACATATATTTTTTCCTTTCCAGGGTTGTCGTGTTGTTATCTAGATGTTTCTAACAGACCGATTTTGAACACGTTATTAGCACATCGTTTTAAACAATTCGAGGTTTCAGTTCGAATGCAGTTGTTTTTTCATATTTGATTGAAAAAATACGTCGACTAGGTCAATGCTATATCATCCAGTGCTGGAGTGGAGCGATGTTTCTCAGCTCTCGTAGTCACCTATGGAAAACTCCGAAGTTCTTTCGGCGTCGAGATGGCTGGAAAGCTGGCTTTTCTTTTTAAACAACTCAATGAGTGATTGTAAAACTCAATCTTGTTTTTTACGTGTTTTTTTTTCATATATTTAACATGTTAAAAACCTTTTAGTTAACAAAATGACAGCCTTGTTGCCTTCACAATCGGGCTGACATTTTTGAAGATCAAATTACATTTTGCATAAGCTGATACTGCGCATGTCAAGATTCTTGAATACATCCGGACTAATCGATATCTTTGGCTACAACATTCACCAAATACTTGAAAAATTATTAATAATTCAAACAACTTGAAATTTTTTTTAGGTGTTGCACTTGTATAATTTTGATTTTCTGTTTTGGTCATCGAAAATGTTTCTTATAGTCTTGTTCTCCTAATGGAACTGGTCGAAATAATTTTAAGATCATTTTAGAATTCTTTCTAAGCATTTTCGTGTCAGCTGGAAAATCGTTTGAACAAAGAACCAAAAACAAATCTCCCAGTATGCCTGGAGAAAAACAAGAAGTGTCTTCGGCTACAAAATTGTTTAAAAATTACTAACAAATATTTGAATTCAAATTTCAATGTCCAATTTTATGAGTAGCCTTTTTTCTAAGTAATTTTGTCATTTCATCACAGTATTTGGTAATTAGTTACTATTTGATGTATTCAAACTTCATAAAAGCAGATCAGCAGAAAAATCACTCAAGATAGAAAATATATAGCAAATAATGTACACTAAGATATTACGTTTTAAACTATTTGGAAATTGAGCAATCTTTTTTTCGGTACTACATATTAAAGTCTAAAATACTTTCAAGTTTTCTTTACAACTCAGCGCAAACTCAGTTGACTGATTGTTATATAAAAATCATGCTTAATTAATTTCATATTTTCTTTACAAATTTAAGGTCTTCGTAGAAATTCTATCATTGCGCTTACAATAAAAATAGGTAATTGAATTTTTTATTTGTTTGTTTTGATTTGATTTTCATCAAATCGAAATCCTGGATTAACCCCTTCATCCGTTTTTTTTTCGTTTCAAGTGCTTTTTATGTTTTTCCGAAGGGGTGTTCCTAATGGAATCTTCCAGAGCCATTTTCGTTGAGTTTTACTGTTCAAACGATCTCCGTTCTACTCCTTTTTGAAAAATCCAGGAGTTCTATTGTCGAATTTCTTATGTTGATCGCATCAAATACGCGGCTGGCAGATAATCAGTTCACTACAGTTAGCATGTATCCAATTAGAATAATTTTCCTTTGCTTCAACTATAATGCATTCATTAAAAGTAGATCCTGTCAACGCTAAATACATCGAGTTTGTATCCATTTCAATAGCTCGGTTGGTTAGAGGTCGTAAAATGCGTCCAATAAAATCGTATTTAACTTCTAACATTTGCTATTGAGCATTGTTTAAGGTAAAAAATCCAACAATTTTTGGTTCACCGTGATACGCAGTTTTAGAATATTTTAGTTCAAAATTTTGCTGTCATGAACATCGTAGGTCTTCAATTTTGGAGAGTTAATCTTCTTTGACTCAGCTGCTTTGTTTACATAAAACGTACTGACAAATTATGCTATATTGATTAATTGATTTCCATAAGCACTGGTTCCAATTAGTTTCGATGTTTGAAATAACGGTCGTCAACATTCGAGTCTCCAAGTCTACGATTGTACCTCACAAAATCAAAAAAGCCTTGAAAGTTTTCGCGCGATTATACTGTATGAATAAGTGACATTTAATGACAACAAGTCCATGAATCAAACTTCACTTAATATACTTGGTAGTGAGGAGAACTTATCACATTATCACATAAGTGACTAGCCAAAAGACACTGTCAGCCAGTAGACCTTATTCAATTTAATATCGCAACTGGTTTCATATGACCATCGAGAGCGTTTCGGTTTACGGGTGTTTTTCAATACTGGAGGCAATTTTCTAAGTATTTTTTCAGATACTGTCGAACGTGAATATCGACCAATGCAAGACCATAAACTTCTTATTTCGTAAGCCATTGTATGAACTCGTCTTTCGATAGTGTTGAGTTATTCATATTCAATTCTCGACACGACAATCGCTCGTCGTTGTTGTACTGTTTTTGGAAAGACCAATCATACCTCCTCACATGTTGACAACAGAGAAACCTGTGAACATAACAAGAAAATCTTGTTTAATGCTTGAAAAAAATTATTTATTCGAAGGATTAATTTGCTACTAATAAGTTTTGTTTAAATTTTCAGAAATAAAAAAAAATGTTTTTCTACCTTGCGATTCATGAATGACTTGCGTTTTGCATCATACTGACAAATTTGTGTTGGCGTTTTGTTGTGAATGAAAGCAAGCTAAGAAGTAAACTTTTTGTGAATTGCTTTATCAAAATACAAAACCTCAGTAGTCAGACAAAAGTGTTCATGATGATAGCAACCATTGAACACCCACACACAAACTGTGACTTGATTGACAGCACACATCGGAAATAAACTTTCTATCTTCACATGTCCGTTTAAAAAATCGTGATGTAATAAGACAAGAAGAATTGTGTGAATAGTGTTGCTTGGAAATGTAGTTCACAAACTCTTTCGAGAATTTGAAGACGATGTCTTTCGGGTTGTAGTCTTTCTCCAGAATTTGGTTTGTATACTATTTTTGGACCTGCGTAGAATTCGACTGTGTAAATTGGACCTATTTTTTCGGCTGTGTAGAATTCGATCATTTTTTGTACCGCATCGTGCAGAGGTTGAACATCAAGACAGCTGTAAATTTTCAAAAAATCTTGCATCATTTGAAAGATTTTGCTAACCCATACTTATTTTATTATCTCGTAGTTTTCCTGGCCTGTCTTTTCGGGTTTGATTCATCGCCACCTTTTTTAAAGAAACTTTTTGATACTGAGGGTTGAGTGTTTTTTGATCTGCAATTTAGAACAGAAGGCAGAATATGATATAGAGGTGATGTTTCAGAAAGTTTATCTAAAAGATACCAAATGTTCATTAAAAAAAATTTTTTGCTGAAAGTTAATCTTATGAGTTACCGGCCGCTACTGTCAATAAAACCAAAAGCGGGCGATGCTAATAAAAAAATCTTTTTTTTTCTATTAAAACCAACCATTGCTAAATGATCAATAGTTACAGTTCTCAGATCAACTGATTTGAATGACACTGATTTTGCCTATGAGAAATTCAAAACTGCTTGGTTTTATCATTGGATGAACTTGCACGTCGCAAACACCAAAAGTCTTCCGTAAATCTGCAGCGGATGGGTTTACTAAGTCTATAAAAATGCACTATGCTGACGAAATAATCTTTTCAAATTTTGGAAATTTGATAAACGGACTAAAAGTTTCTTTTATCATATTGATAAATTCAAATTCAAACAAGGAAGGCATTGTGATGCTTTCTCCAAAATGAGACGTTTAGTACCGAGAGGGGTCATATCATGATAAATTATTACAACTCCAATGTTAAGACAATAATCCAGTATGGTTTGCTTGTTTATGGTAGTACGTCTTTTCAATCCTAAATCCGATTTTTGTTGCAAAAGAAGCTGATAAAAATGATCTAATTCAGGAGATATTTTGAAAGCATCTCAATTGAGTTTCAAGAAAAAAACTCCTGCTGTGCCTGCATTGTATATTTACAGTTTTCTAAAGTTTGGCATGCGGTCTGTCAATAGTTTGCACTTTAAAGACTTTCTCAATGAACTTTTTGCTGGAAACAGCATTAACTATAATACAAGAAGATCAGTTTTTCCTAACCTTAACAATTTTTTTGTGTTAAAAGCCGAATATGTCTACTTGTAAAACCTAGGATTTAAACTTCCGAACATTTTGAGTTTAAACATTTTTTGCCTGAAAATCTTGGTCAGATGAATCATCGTGAACTGTTGGTGTTCTTCCACACTCTTAAAAAATATCATTTTCAGACATTCTCAGCTTGTTCGTTTCATCTTTCATAACTCAAAGTTATTTCTAAGTTTTCTCAGTCTAATGACTCTAATTGAAGAACTAAAGCTTTTCGCCCACCCCCTTCGGGAAATAACTTAATAACTTCTCTGAAAAAAATGTTTTGCTCTAAAAACAACTTGAAATGTTTCAAATTTTCATCGCTTGATTAGCTTGAATCAAGTCTGAAACTTTCAATAAAGAAAATGTTTCTGTTTTTGCTGACTAGTTTGATTCATGAAATAACATAGCTCGAATGGCTTCGAAGAAAACCTTTATTTTTTCGCCATCCAACTCCTTTCGTGACTCAGCTTGAAATGGCTTGATCAGCTTGCTTAAAAAACCTGAACAACTATCTTTTGATCAATTGATCATGGAGACACGCTAGTTAGTATAAATAGCGTCGGCCAAATCGTTAGTGGGTGTCAAATAACGAATTGATTGTGTGAAGAAAAAGTTTATTAAAATCCAAGCAGTATATAAATGCATTAAATTACAAACATTGACCTCCAATTCAAAGCAAGTTTCTTTCTTAAGAATCAAACACATAATTTTTTTTTGGTGTATGGCAGCGTCAAGCAAGAGAGAGTTAGATTGCACAAATTATCTAATTATTACTATATTGACCGTAATGTGAAACATTCGTTTCAGACATTTTTCTACGTCTTGCCCTTCACTGATGTCCAACAGACGAATACTGCTGCTGGTTTTGACCCAATTCGAACAAATGAGCATGACTGCAGCGGAAGCGGGTTGCTGAATTTGAGCATTGGTCATTGTCACTCTCTCATGGCGTCTCCTTGGAAACAGCCCGAATCAGACATACCTGAAGAAGGGTTTGGATTTGGACTAGAAGGGGGAGATGGAGATCCGGTCATAGTGAAAAGTGTACTGTCAGGTAATAGGGAATGAAAAAAAGCACTTTGCTAGCTTTGATAGTTGAAAACGGCATTTTAACTGGAAAGAGGACTAAATACATTTCCGGGGAGGGGTGGGGCTTGCGCGAGGGCGGGGGTAAGATGGAGAGTAAATGTATGTTTATTATACCTTTGACCCGTTGCACTAGGGATTTACTACCATTCATTTCCAGTTTGAAATACTCATGCAGAGTTTGTAATGCAAACTCGTATTTGTATGTAACTGGTGCAAATGCATGTACCCATATAAGTAGTTTGGTTCAGTTTGGGCAAATAAACTATTTAGCCAACACATATTTTTTCATTTCCAGGGTTGTCGTGTTGTTATCTAGATGTTATTAACAGACCGATATTTAACACGTTATTAGCACATCATTTTAAACAATTCGAGCTTTCAATTCTAATGCAATTGTTTTTTCATATCTGGCGCAAAAAAGCAGTAAGGGGTGGAAAACATAAGTTAAACTAATTTTTTTCTGGTTCCAATAAATCTGGTTGTAAGCGCTGAAGATCTGCCAAACCATATGTTACAAGAAAAAAATTCATTTTTGTTAAAGGAAGGCAAACATTGGCCCCGTTTAAAAATTTTAAAAACGTTAAAAATCTTGAACAACATATTAGATCACACTTATTATAGTATCTGGTTGTCAAAAAAGATAAATGAGGCTTCGGATCTGTATTTAATGCTTGAAAAAAATTATTTATACGAAGGAATAATTTGCTACTAATAAGTTTTGTTTAAATTTTCAGAAATTAAAAAAAAAATGTTTTTCTACCTTGCGATTCAATGAATGACTTGCGTTTTGCATCATACTGACAAATTTGTGTTGGCGTTTTGTTGTGAAGGAAAACAGGCTGAGAAATAAACATTTTGTTAATTGTCTTATCAAAATACAAAACCTCAGTAGTCAGACAAAAGTGTTCATGATGATAGCAACCATTGAACACCCACAAACTGACTTGTTTGACAGCACACCTCGGAAATTAACTTTCTATCTTCACATGTGCGTTTAAAAAATCGTAATGTAATAAGACCAGAAGAATTGTGTGCATAGTGTTGCTTGAAAATGTAGCTCACAAACTCTTTCGACAATTTGAAGACGATGTCTTTCGGGTTGTAGTCCATCTCCAGATTTTGGTTTGTATACTATTTTTGGACCTGCGTAGAATTCGACTGTGTAGATTGGACCTATTTTTTCGGCTGTGTAGAATTCGATCATTTTTTGTACCGCATCGTGCAGAGGTTGAACATCAAGACAGCTGTACAACTTCAAGAAATCTTGCATCATTTGAAAGATTTTGCTAACCCATACTTCTTTTATCTCGTAGTTTTCCTGGCATGTCTTTGGTCTTTCGGGTTTAATTCATCGCCACCTTTTTTAAAGAAACTTTTTGATACTGATGGTTGAGTGTTTTTGATCTGCAATTTAGAACAGAAGGCAGAATATGATATAGAGGTGATGTTTCAGAAAGTTTATCTAAAAGATACCAAATGTTCATATATAAAAAAAGTTTTTGCTGGAAGTTAATCTCATGAGTTACCGGCCGCTACTGTCAATAAAACCAAAAGCGGGCGATGCTAATAAAAAAATTTTTTTACTAAAACCAGCCATTGGTAATTGATCAATTGTTACAGTTCTCAGATCAACTGATTTGAATGACACTGATTTTGCCTATAAGACTTTCAAAACTGCTTGGTTTTATCATTGGATGAACTTGCACGTCACAAACACCAAAAGTCTTCGGTAAATCTGAAGCGGATGGGTTTACTAAGTCTATAAAAATTCACTATGCTGACGAAATAATCTTTTCAAATTTTGGAAATTTGATCAACGGACTAAAAGTTTCCTGTATCATATGATAAATTCAAATTTAAACAAGGAAGGCATTGTGATGCTTTCTCCAAAATGAGCCGTTTAGTACCGAGACGGGTCATAATAAATTATTACAACTCCAATGTTGTAACTCTAATTAATCCACTATGGTTTGCTTGTTTATGGTAGTACGTCTTTTCAATCCTAAATCCGATTTTTTTTTGCAAAAGAAGCTGATAAAAATGATCTACTTCAGATATTTTGAAAGCATCTCAATTGAGTTTCAAGAAAAAAAACTCATGCTGTGCCTGCATTGTATGCTTACAGTTTTCTGAAAATTCGGCATGCGGTCTGTCAATAATTTGCACTTCAAAGACTTTCTCAATGAACTTTTTGCTGGAAACAGCTTTAACTATAATACAAGATCATTTTTTCCTAATTTCAACAATTTTGTTGTGTTGAAAGCCGAATATAACTACTTGTAAAGCCTAGGATTTAAACTTCCGAACATTTTAAGTTGAAACATTTTTGCCTGAAAATCTTGGTCAGATGAATCATCGTGAACTGTTGGTGTTCGTCCACACTCTTAAAAAATATCATTTTCAGACATTCTCAGCTTGTTCGTTTCATCTTTCATAACTCAAAGTTATTTCTAAGTTTTATCAGTTTAATGCTTCTAATTGAAGAACTAAAGCTTTTCGCCCACCCCCTTCGGGAAATAACTTAATAACTTCTCTGAAAAAAATGTTTTGCTCTAAAAACAACTTGAAATGTTTCAAATTTTCATCGCTTGACTAGCTTGAATCAAGTCTGAAACTTTCAATAAAGAAAATGTTTCTGTTTTTGCTGACTAGTTTGATTCATGGAATAACATAGCTCGAATGGCTTCGAAGAAAACCTTTATTTTTTCGCCATCCAGCTCTTTTCGTGACTCAGCTTGAAATGGCTTGATCAGCTTGCGTAAAAAACCTGAACAACTATCTTTTGATCAATTGATCATGGAGACACGCTAGTAAGTATAAATAGCGTCGGCCAAGTCGTTAGTGGGTGTCAAATAACGAATTTATCTTGTGAAGAAAAAGTTTATTAAAATCCAAGCAGTATATAAATGCATTAAATTACAAACAATGACCTCCAATTCAAAGCAAGTTTCTTTCTTAAGAATCAAAAACAGAAATTTTTTTTGGTGTATGGCAGCGTCAAGCAGGAGAGGGTTAGATTGCACAAAATATCTATGTAATACTATATTGACCGTAATGTGAAACTTTCGTTTCAGACATTTTTCTACGTCTTGCCCTTCAGTGATGTCCAACAGACGAATAGTGCTGCTTTTTTTACCCAATTAGAACAAGAGCATGACTGCAGGGAAGCGGGTTGCTGATTTTGAGCGTTGGTCATTGTCACTCTCTCATGGCGTCTTCTTGGAAACAGCCCGAATCAGACATACCTGAAGAAGGGTTTGGATTTGGACTAGAAGGGGGAGATGGAGATCCGGCCATAGTGAAAAGTGTACTGTCAGGTAATAGGGAATGAAAAAAAGCACCTTGCTTGCTTTGATAGTTGAAAACAGCATTTTAACTGGAAAGTGGACTAAATACATTTTGGAATATTTATGCAGTTATTCGGAGTAGTTGTCCCTTGTGCCCGCTAAATCGCTTGAATACTTCATTCGGGGTGCATTTTGGCCTCGTAATGTTTGTGCATTCACTGCATACTTTTATCCAGACTGGTTGGCAGAAATCAGGTTCGGATCAAAATAATACAAATTGCCTGTAATATTTTGAATTCGGCAAGCATAAAATTTTCTCAATTTTTTTTCCCACGCCTTAGTGATCACACAAAACTTTTTTTTTAAACCAGTATCAGACTATTTGTTATCAGTATCAGATTATTTTTTTGGTTTGCCTGTAACTTTTTAGGCTGGCGATTAGCAACTGTTATAAAACCGGAGCTTTTTTCAGATCAACAGCTAGCTGAACAGGTTTTGTCAGCCAAAGAGATTTTTGAGCAGTTGTGACTTTGAAAATGTTCGTTATACTCGAAATTTAATTTAAAGTGTCAATGAGCGTAATCCAGACCCTTATCTAGGCCGTGATTTTTTCAGGAAAAAGTTATGCAGTCTAAAATTTATATTTTTTTTGCTTTTGAATTTTGCGGTTAACGAGGTTGTTACAACTGGGTTCTATACTTTTTTCTCTTCAATAACTTTATTTACATGGTGACTTGTCGTAGTATGTAAAACAAGCCTAAACCCCCGGGGAGGGGGTGGGGCTTGAGCGAGGGCGGGGGTAAGATGAAGAATAAATGTATGTTTATTATACCTTTGACCCGTTGCACTAGGGATTTACTACCATTCATTTCCAGTTGGAAATACTCATGCAGAGTTTGTAATGCAAACTCGTATTTGTATGTAACTGGTGCAAATGCATGTACCCATATAAGTAGTTTGGTTCAGTTTGGGCAAATAAACTATTTAGCCAACACATATTTTTTCCTTTCCAGGGTTGTCGTGTTGTTATCTAGATGTTATTAACAGACCGATATTTAACACGTTATTAGCACATCATTTTAAACAATTCGAGCTTTCAATTCGAATGCAATTGTTTTTTCATATCTGGCGCAAAAAAGCAGTAAGGGGTGGAAAACATAAGTTAAACTAATTTTTTTCTGGTTCCAATAAATCTGGTTGTAAGCGCTGAAGATCTGCCAAACCATATGTTACAAGAAAAAAAAATTCATTTTTGTTAAAGAAAGGCAAACATTGGCCCCGTTTTAAAATTTTAAAAACGTTAAAAATCTTGAACAACATATTAGATCACACTTATTATAGTATCTGGTTGTCAAAAAAAGATAAATGAGGCTTCGGAGAAGTGGCTGATAAGGTGCGTTCGAACGTTTCCTAGTTAAGCATTTTCCAATTTATTTTAGCCTTGTTCGTTGAATAATGAAAAAAATTGCAAACGGCAGAGCGCACTTATAACTATTAATTTTGGCAAAAAACACTGAAAGGAAACCATCTTTTTCTTGACGGCAATCGATGCAATGTAGTTTAAATTAGTTACAGATGTTGAACCATCATGAAAAGTTGGCCCAACAGGGTTTCCAAAAGTCATTTTAGCAAAGCGCACCCATAACTATGGTTTTTTATAGGCAGAGAGCACGCTATAACTATATGCATATACATATATAAGTTTTATGGGCTTATTAGCTTGCTAAAGAAGAACCATTTTAAGGAACCAAATTGATCTATAGCATAACTTAAATAATTCAAATCTTCATAGCTTGAACTGCTTGTATTTGATAAATTATCTTTTCGCGAAACAATTCTTTCTCTGAAATAACTTGAATTAATTCATAGTTTCATCGGTTGAATGGCTCCAATTGAAAAACTAAAACTTTTAGCCATGCGATTCTCTTGATGAAATAACTTGAAACAGTTCAAAGTTTACTGGCCTGAATAGCTTGCTTGAAAAATTCACTTTTCGCGAACCGATCGGTCTATGAAGACTCTTGAAGTATTTCAAAGTTTTCTCAGTCTAATGACTCTAATTGAAGAATTAAAGCTTTTCGTCCACCCCCTTCGGAAATAACTTAATAACTTCTCTGAAAAAAATGTTTTGCTCTAAAAACAACTTGAAATGTTACAAATTTTCATCGCTTGATTAGCTTGAATCAAGTCTGAAACTTTCAATAAAGAAAATGTTTCTGTTTTTACTGACCAGTTTGATTCTGACTAGTTTGATTCATAAATGTATGTTTATTATACCTTTGACCCGTTGCACTAGGGATTTACTACCATTCATTCCCAGTTGGAAATACTCATGCTGAGTTTGTAACGCAAACTCGTGTTTGTATGTAACTGGTGCAATTGCATGTACCCATAGAAGTAGTTTGGTTCAGTTGGGGCAAATAAACTATTTAGCCAACATATTTTTTTTCCTTTCCAGGGTTGTCGTGTTGTTGTCTAGATGTTATTAACAGACCAATATTTAACATGTTTTTAGCACATCGTTTTAAACAATTCGAGCTTTCAATTCGAATGCAGTTGTTTTTTCATATTTGATTGAAAAAATACGTCGACTAGGTCAATGCTATCTCATCCAGTGCTGGAGTGGAGTGATGTTTCTTAACTCTCGGAGTCACCTATGGAAAACTCCGAAGTTCTTTCGGCGTCGAGATGGCTGGAAAGCTGGCTTTTCTTTTTAAACAACTGAATGAGTGATTGTAAAACTCAATCTTGTTTTTTACGTGTTTGGACCTATTTTTTCGGCTGTGTAGAATTCGATCATTTTTTGTACCGCATCGTGCAGAGGTTGAACATCAAGACAGCTGTAAAACTTCAAGAAATCTTGCATCATTTGAAAGATTTTGCTAACCCATACTTCTTTTATCTCGTAGTTTTCCTGGCATGTCTTTGGTCTTTCGGGTTTAATTCATCGCCACCTTTTTTAAAGAAACTTTTTGATACTGATGGTTGAGTGTTTTTGATCTGCAATTTAGAACAGAAGGCAGAATATGATATAGAGGTGATGTTTCAGAAAAATTATCTAAAAGATACCAAATGTTCATATATAAAAAAAATTTTTGCTGGAAGTTAATCTTATGAGTTACCGGCCGCTACTGTCAATAAAACCAAAAGCGGGCGATGCTAATAAAAATTTTTTTTTATTAAAACCAGCCATTGGTAATTGATCAATTGTTACAGTTCTCAGATCAACTGATTTGAATGACACTGATTTTGCCTATAAGACTTTCAAAACTGCTTGGTTTTATCATTGGATGAACTTGCAAGTCACAAACACCAAAAGTCTTCGGTAAATCTGAAGCGGATGGGTTACTAAGTCTATAAAAATTCACTATGCTGACGAAATAATCTTTTCAAATTTTGGAAATTTGATCAACGGACTAAAAGTTTCCTGTATCATATGATAAATTCAAGTTTAAACAAGGAAGGCATTGTGATGCTTTCTCCAAAATGAGCCGTTTAGTACCGAGAGGGGTCATAATAAATTATTACAACTCCAATGTTGTAACTCCAATTAATCCACTATGGTTTGCTTGTTTATGGTAGTACGTCTTTTCAATCCTAAATCCGATTTTTTTTTGCAAAAGAAGCTGATAAAAATGATCTACTTCAGGAGATATTTTGAAAGCATCTCAATTGAGTTTCAAGAAAAAAAAACTCATGCTGTGCCTGCATTGTATGCTTACAGTTTTCTGAAAATTCGGCATGCGGTCTGTCAATAATTTGCACTTCAAAGACTTTCTCAATGAACTTTTTGCTGGAAACAGCTTTAACTATAATACAAGAAGATCATTTTTTCCTAATTTCAACAATTTTGTTGTGTTGAAAGCCGAATATAACTACTTGTAAAGCCTAGGATTTAAACTTCCGAACATTTTAAGTTGAAACATTTTTTGCCTGAAAATCTTGGTCAGATGAATCATCGTGAACTGTTGGTGTTCGTCCACACTCTTAAAAAATATCATTTTGAGACATTCTCAGCTTGTTCGTTTCATCTTTCATAACTCAAAGTTATTTCTAAGTTTTATCAGTCTAATGCTTCTAATTGAAGAACTAAAGCTTTTCGCCCACCCCCTTCGGGAAATAACTTAATAACTTCTCTGAAAAAAATGTTTTGCTCTAAAAACAACTTGAAATGTTTCAAATTTTCATCGCTTGACTAGCTTGAATCAAGTCGGAAACTTTCTATAAAGAAAATGTTTCTGTTTTTGCTGACTTGTTTGATTCATGGAATAACATAGCTCGAATGGCTTCGAAGAAAACCTTTATTTTTTCGCCATCCAGCTCTTTTCGTGACTCAGCTTGAAATGGCTTGATCAGCTTGCGTAAAAAACCTGAACAACTATCTTTTGATCAATTGATCATGGAGACACGCTAGTAAGTATAAATAGCGTCGGCCAAGTCGTTAGTGGGTGTCAAATAACGAATTTATCTTGTGAAGAAAAAGTTTATTAAAATCCAAGCAGTATATAAATGCATTAAATTACAAACAATGACCTCCAATTCAAAGCAAGTTTCTTTCTTAAGAATCAAACACAGAAATTTTTTTTGGTGTATGGCAGCGTCAAGCAGGAGAGGGTTAGATTGCACAAAATATCTATGTAATACTATATTGACCGTAATGTGAAACTTTCGTTTCAGACATTTTTCTACGTCTTGCCCTTCAGTGATGTCCAACAGACGAATAGTGCTGCTTTTTTTACCCAATTAGAACAAGAGCATGACTGCAGGGAAGCGGGTAGCTGATTTTGAGCGTTGGTCATTGTCACTCTCTCATGGCGTCTTCTTGGAAACAGCCCGAATCAGACATACCTGAAGAAGGGTTTGGATTTGGACTAGAAGGGGGAGATGGAGATCCGGTCATAGTGAAAAGTGTACTGTCAGGTAATAGGGAATGAAAAAAAGCACCTTGCTTGCTTTGATAGTTGAAAACAGCATTTTAACTGGAAAGTGGACTAAATACATTTTGGAATATTTATGCAGTTATTCGGAGTAGTTGTCCCTTGTGCCCGCTAAATCGCTTGAATACTTCATTCGGGGTGCATTTTGGCCTCGTAATGTTTGTGCATTCACTGCATACTTTTATCCAGACTGGTTGGCAGAAATCAGGTTCGGATCAAAATAATACAAATTGCCTGTAATATTTTGAATTCGGCAAGCATAAAATTTTCTCAATTTTTTTTCCCACGCCATAGTGATCACACAAAACTTTTTTTTTTAAACCAGTATCAGACTATTTGTTATCAGTATCAGATTATTTTTTTGGTTTGCCTGTAACTTTTTAGGCTGGCGATTAGCAACTGTTATAAAACCGGAGCTTTTTTCAGATCAACAGCTAGCTGAACAGGTTTTGTCAGCCAAAGAGATTTTTGAGCAGTTGTGACTTTGAAAATGTTCGTTTTACTCGAAATTTAATTTAAAGTGTCAATGAGCGTAATCCAGACCCTTATCTAGGC